GTAATCTCCGAAGAAACAACATAATTTCAGCAAAACATTTGTATCAGGTCGTCTGCGATTCTCCATTACAAGCCAAAGTGTATACTTTTTGCCTCATGTTTAGGAGAGTTTATCTCTCACATTTTCTTCCCCTTAAGATTGTATACAATGAGACCATTTACTTTTGGAATATGGATGTCACAATTGCCTGTCTGGATGTGTCATAAAGTTTGAGAAAAATACTTTTGAGCTTGAAGTTTGGTCAATAAAATAAATACAGCCACCCAATTTCACATTCAATGGTCAAGATTTATTGTGACCACCTTGTATAAAAGATAAATGGTCTAATGATATACTTTTTAAAAAAAAAAATGATTTTGTGCTTTTCTATGAGCATGTTTGATAATAGGAAGGGGAAGAAGGAACTTCCCCATTATTATACAAGTTGTGTTTGATACATAGAACTTACACAGTAAAGAAGTTCCACCTAGAACTTCCTCATTCCCTTCTGCTTAAGAAAAAAAGTTCCATCTTAAATGATAGAACTTAAAATAGGAACTTGGCTCCTTATGCCCTATCCTGCGTGCGTGTGTGTGTGTGTGTATATATATATATATATATATATAAAATACAAATAAATATTAGTACAATAATTTATTGTATTATATATAATATAAATATATATTTATAAAATATATTATATTATATATTATATTACGTTATATATGATATATGTTTTATATTTTATTGTATAATATATAATATATTAATTACATAATAATAAATATTTATAGAATTATATATAATACAAATATATATTAATAGAATAAATATAAAATACAATATATTATATATTATGTTATATATATTATATTTATATTTAAAATACACCATGTTATATATTATATTGTGTTATATATATTATATATAATATATATTTATATATATTATGCGTTTATGTAATATTATACATTTTATTATATATTATATATTATACAATAAACAAAATAAAATACACTATATTATATATTATATTATGTTATATATATTATATATAATATGTATTTAATATAACATATTATATTATAATATATATAATATTTTGTTGTATAATATATTTTATGTATGTAACATATATTTAAAATACAATATATATTATATATTATTTTATATCTAATATAAAAATAGTATTTAATATATAATATTTTAATAAAATTTAAATAAATATAACTTTATATTTCAACAGGTTGTCAAAGCATAGGTACCTAAAAATTTTAACATTCCAGCAAGTTATCAAATATATACACACAAAACTTCTTTAAATAACTTTTTTCTTTCCAGCAAAGAGAAACTTTTAATTTCCAGAAAACATTTACCTTCCAGTTATCAAACCGGCCTGGTTCCTTAAAGAAAATATGCCCTGTCCAATTATACGAATGGTTTGGATTTCAAGACTCGCATAATAACGGATGTGGACCCAGATTCATCAAAGGGAAATAACCTGGAGAGACTCTCCCACACTCATGTAGGACCCCAAAGGATCACCATTAAACTTGACATAGATCTCTAAAAAAATCAAGTCCCAAACCTATATGATAACTTTTTTAGAGATCTGTGTAAAATTTAATGGTAATCTTTGAAAGTCTTGCACACATAAGTATGAGAGGGTCTGAGATCATTACTCTTCGTCAAATACTTTCCAAAAGAAATTAAATGAGAGACCGAACATGTGATAAAATGACTGGCTTTTGTACTCCCGTTCCTCTCTCTCCTCACTTGCTCGCTTTGTATTTGTACGTGGCCTGGCTCTAGTCCCTTGGGGCGGTACGCAGCTCTTTGTTTTTGTGTGGTCTTTGGACTCTCTTTAGTATTGTGTGTGGTCTTTAACTTTTGTGTGGTCTTTGTCCTTATGTCTTCTCTGATTGTCTCTCCAGGAATGTGTCTAAGATTAGTGTCTTTCTCCCATGCATTTGTGCACCCTCTTTATGGTGGTGAAGTAGCGATAACAAAAAGTCGTTGGGCAACATTACAAAAAAGAAAAATAAAGAAAAAATGTGGTTTGGGTCTCTTCGAGGGACTCGGTATCATTCACCTTCGGTTTACTCGGCCAATTTTAAGTCGATTTGGAGAAGCTTTAACGAAAAATTTTAATCATATTTTACAGAACAAAAAGAAGTGATGCTAACTCAATCTTGGGTTTTTCGGGCCAAACACAATTACAGCAGTAGCTGAAGATTGCTTGGCCAACTTAGGGCTCCCCAAGTTGGCCTAGATTGGGACTCCAATGATCTCATAGGAAGAAATCGTCTCTAAATGGTCGGGTTTGGGTTGGGTCGATCCCAATCTAAAACTGACTTGGCAGAGTCTAGGTGAGAATTGGAACAATATAGGAAAAGGTCAATTGTATATGAGTAATGATCCTATAGGATCCTCCCCCATCCATATGTGTATGACCTAAAAAGATCAACATTAAAGTTAGCACAGATCTCTAGAAAAATTATCATATGGGTGTGGGACTTGATTTTTCTATAAATCTGTGCCAAATTTAATGGTGATCCTTTGAGGTCTTACACATATGGGTGGGGAGGGTCCTATAGAATCATTTCTCATTATATATATTGCAGTTTACATAAATTGTCAACTTTAAACAATCAAAATAAGACATACCTTTCAGAAGATATAATTCTAGTGTCAGAAACTCCTAATATGATCTTAAAATCCAATTCCACCATTAATTATGAATTTTAAAGCTAAAAGGTGTATAGATCAAACAAAATCTATAATCACCGAATAAATATTGAAAACGAATAATTCAAATAATGTGTTATAATATACACTATTTTTAATATTTAAAATTGACTTTTCAGAGGCTAAGACGATCAAGAGGAAATTCTTCCAACATAAGCACAATTTTTGTTCACTAGATTATTGAGGTGTTTGTTACTTTCTTTATTTTTTTTCCTTTTGTTTGTTTGTTTTTAAGTTATTTTGAGGTGTATCTTACTTTTATGTTATACAAACAAAATGGATCGAGACGACCTCAACTCAACCAAGTATGGTCTACACTCGAGCTAGACCCGACCCATAAATAATAAGAAAAATTATAAAAAAAACCCAAGACTACACTTTTTATGCAACTTACCCTCTACTTAAGTTTTTTGCTCACTTTTTTCCCCAAAATAGACTTTCTATGCAAGATTACGCTTTCTATGCAACTTACCCCAACCTAACTTTTTCTCTCACTTTTTTCCCCAAAATAGATTTTGGGTATTTGCATTTTTTTTTTTTAACACGTTTTTAACCCCTGGTTGGACCTACCCAACTAGGGCCAAGGAACTAGGAACTCAGCTCGAGTTATTCAGCTACTCAGGATTGGACTATGGTCAAGTTCCATCCTATAGTCATGGTTTTCAACACTGGTTGGGTTGAACCGCACACTTAGCAATCGATCCAACCCTAGTCGAAATCTGAATCCAATTACTTGACTTTGTGGGCAAAGTCCATGTATTGTTAGGGTAAATTACAAAAAAAACACAATACCATACTTTCTATGCAAATACCCCAAAGGGAAAAAAATTTATTTTTTAGATGGAAGTACTTTTATTGTACACAGAAATCACTTTAGCCAGATTTGATGTTGACTTTTGGACCCCCATAGTACATTGCCTGAACACACCATCACATGGTCGGAGCCCCTAAGTATCAGACTGCCCTAAGATAACTATTGGACCGAAACTGACTACTGAACCGCCCTTTGCAATTGTCGGACCTCCCTTTGCAACTGTTGCACCGTACTTTACAACTGCCGGACCGTACTTTACACAGTGGTTGAGCCCTACTGCCGGACCGTACTTTACGTAGTGCCAGAGCCTGATTGCCGGACTGCACTTTACATAATGCGGGAGCCCGATTGCCAGATTGCCAGATTGCACTTTACACAGTGCCGGAGCCCCACTGCCGAACCGCACTTACACAATGCCGGAGCCCCTATTTTGGTGGGATAGAGAAGAATGGGTAAGGTAAAAGTAAAGACTGGTAGTTTCGGTAATTTTTTTATTTTTTATTTGGTTGGGGGTATTTACAAAGAAAGTCTATTTTGGGGAAAAAAGTGAGAGAAAGAATTAGGTTGGGACTTGGGAGTAAGTTGCATAAAAAGTGTAGTTTTTTTTTTTTTCCCTATTTTTAAAGTAAAATTAAAAAAAAAACACATCTAAATGAGGTTAAAAATTTAGTTAAAAATGAATTTTAAAAAATCAATATTTTAGAAATGATTGATGATATTTTAGAAATGGGTACAGTTGGCATACATAGGTGTAGAGGTAATTAGGCATAGAGGTAAGGTGCACCTTCAAATTTGATCATGTATATAATTTTGATGTAAAATGTTATTAGGATTATCTCAAAATCTATTTTTATATCTATTTATAAAATTTTAAACTTAAAAAATAGTTAAAATCAAGAGATCTATAAACATAAGAAAATTTTGAAAATGGACTGTGTAGATAATATGTTGTAAAATGCACTATTTGTGATACTTAAAATCTTTTTATCTTTTCATGGTCAATCAAAGGGTTTTTCAATATTAAAACTATATTTTTCGATGGATTTTTAAAGGGCACATGTAGTTTTACATTATAAGGTTGCATCTTTATAAAAACTTTCCCTTTTAGAAATAATTCTAAAAGAAAGAAAAACGTAAAAAACACGCATTCTTTTCCAAAACTCTTCCATCTATTTGCAAAAATGACAAAAAAACATAAAAAATATATTACAAATAAATTTCTTATTTTAAAATTTTCATAACTTTTTAAATGTCCTCCAGCTTGACCAACGAACTAGGGATACTCAGCTGAGTCCAAATTGGATCGCGCGAGCAATCGAACACTGAACGTGGCCCGTTATCGAACTTCCGTAGTCCGTTATGCCATCTAGTTTCTCTCTCTAGGAATGTCCGGTCTTTCTCTCTCCATCTCGAACTTTCGTAATCCGTTGAACCATCTCCTTAGTCTCTCTAAGTATCTCTAAGCATTTGCTCTTCGCAGGCCTCGTATTTCAAACCCCTCTCCATTTTAAAAAAAAAACATCTCTACTCTCTCTCTCTCTCTCTACAGCATTTGTTCCACGAGTCTGCAACATTTGAACCTCGAATCTCTCTCTCTACAGCATTTATACTCTCTCTTGTTTTCTCTCTCTAGGGTTGTGTATCTATGAAAGTGAGGTCCTGCGACCTGTTAGTGCATGCGGTATCCAGGTTGGCGTGTGTCCGACTTTGAAGGCACGCTCGCACTGAAATAGCGGGCAAGGAATTCGTACCCACCACCCTTTGCCGCTAATCCCCTGCCTTCCTCACCTTCCTTCCCCTGAGTTTTAGAGAGAGAAAGACGAGAGAGAGCTCGAGTTTAAGAGAGAGATAGGAGAGCCGGAGTTCTATTCCTTTGAGTTTTAGAGATAGAGAGAGACAGGAGAGAAAGATGGGTTCGCAGCAGAAGAATGTGGGGATCCTCGCCATGGACATTTACTTCCCTCGAGCGTGCGTTCAGCAGGCATGCTCTCTCTCCTCGTTTCTCTTCTCTCTCTGTGTTTCACTGTGGGGTGGGTCATTTTGTTTGGCCCCCTTCTATTTAGATATCTCTCTCTCTCTCTCTCTCTTCTGTTTCCGTTTGTTTGTTTCATTGAGGTCTCTCTCTCTCTCTCTCTCTCTCTCTCTCTCT